TCTCACGATTTATTAGGTGCGTTCGACTTGAAGCATGGCTACAGACGGCAGTCTAGGTGCTTGCAGTCGGGGGCGGAGTTGAAAATGGAGCCGTCAAGCCGGACACTTTCTGCTCCCGTTTGTGACGCTCGCACGGTGTTCTTCTTCTTCTTCTAATAACGTTTTATGGCGGATGGCAAACTAACTTCTGGTGCATTTACCGCCACCAACTGGACTGGAGTGTGGAGTTACAATTGTTCAATTAAAATAAACGTATTTTGCTCCATACAACGTGTCTGTTGTCTTTGATTAGCCTAAAAGTAAAATAAAATGACATTCAGAGGACTTAAAGCGAAAGTCCCCTAAACGTCCCAAATGGCCGCTGCACGTCCTGTGAACGTCCGCTCGACGTCAAGGGGACCCTACACGCTGACGTCCGGGGGACGTTAGCAGAGGCCATTTAGGGGACGTCCTGGGGACCTTTTTTTGTTAGCTGGGGGTGGACTCTTGAAATGAATGTAAAACTGCTATTGTTATTCAGATTATAGAACGTCACCACAACAATGAGGTTGAACTGCAAGGAATGAAGCATACACTAAAGATTAGATTAGAACACGCTCAGAATATTTGAAAGAGAATTAACAAACAAACAGAGGTCAAGGTCTGGTGCATGTCTATCTTCTATATATATATATATATATATATATTCCACTTATACAACGGCTCAAGGCATTGTTCATATGTTTTATTTCAAGACATTTTTCAGGTTTTTGTCCTTAAAACTCTCTTGTGCGTAGAATTTCTTAAGCATCTCATCCAAAGTCTCCGTTGCTAATTCCAAAACTTCATTTTACAGCTTGTATTGGAGGCTTGAGACATTGATATGCTTGGGGGAAAATGGAAATAGACTTTTTTTATCCTATTGTTTATTGTACAGCATATTTGCTTGGTCAGTGTCTTTGTGGGCTTTGGTTCTTTTGCTGTTGTAGGGTTGCCAACCGTCCCGTATTTTGGGCCTGATTGATTTGTCCCGTACATGACTTCCCTAGTCCCGTTTTTTGACTGCTACGCTGATCTAACCACTGACTGATACAACAGCAGCAGTGCTGATCACTTGAGAATGATCACCGATACCTGTCATCATCCAATCACAGCCCCCCTCACGCAATTAAGTAAATCAGAAATCGTGAACATAACTGTTCGAGGAAGACTGCGGAATCCTCTGCCGGTGTTCTGACATATAATGCTACCTATCAGATTATGCTACCAACACTGTATTTATCCTACTGTAAGGGTAGGTTTAGGGTTGGGGTAGGTGTACATGTTAATAAAGCCTCACACCTTATTAATATCATGCTGGAAGCAAAATCTGATAGGTAGAACTTTTCGCTATCGAATTATGCTACCATCTGTTTTAATGGGAGGTAGCAAAATCTGACAAGGTAGCACAAAGCCTTACAGCAAGCGGCGCTCGCACTAATGCCAATTCTGTCTGTGTTTTCACTTCAGTAAATCAGTTTTGGTGAATACAAACTGATTATTTTTCATGAGTCCAACATCCCGCCACGCAAGAGACGATCAGTAAGGGAAGTCGTCTTTTACTATTGTAATGTTGTTAAATAGAGAAAAAACATTTTATATTTAAGTAACTAATAGCATAATTCTTAACCCTGGACCTAATTCTTGAAACACAAAATGACCAATAAAAAGGTGTCAAGCACCAAAAAATCTATAAGCTGTCTTTAATTCCTACTACTCGTTTCACTTCTGTTTAAGTAACTCATAGCATAATTCTTAACCCTGGACCTAATTCTTGAAACACAAAATGACCAATAAAAAGGTGTCAAGCACCAAAAAATCTATAAGCTGTCTTTAATTCCTACTACTCTGTATGTTTGAATTGTTTTTAGCTTAATTTTTTTTGTTTTCATTTAAATGTTTTAGTTTTGAAATGTTGTTGTATGCATTTGTCATTTTTATTTAATTTCTTTTATTTTCTTAAATGTGTATATATATAATATTTATAGAGTTTTAGCTTTTAGTTTTAATTACTTTTTCTTATTTGTAAGTCGCTTTGGATAAAAGCGTCTGCTAAATGACTAAAAGTAAAGTAAAAGTAATTGAAAAATACGCATTTTCATGCATACTATATGTGTGTGTGTAGGATATTTTATGCCTTAAAACGTTTCAACCAATCAGAATCAAGCATTCAGCCCTGTGGTATAAATATATATAAATTCTGTTGTGGTGTGCTTCTATTATTATTATTATTTGCTAACTTTTCATTCACAGTTAACTAGCCAACCTAGAAAATGTCAATAAGATGAACAGAAATAAAGGATAGATGTTTTGAAGTCAAACGAGTCCACCTAGTGGATGAACGAAGGACACATACTAATTTCTCACTTTATGCAGAGAGTACCTGATGGTAAAATATATTATTTGATGTTGGATTTATGTTATGTGGCCTTTGTAATTGATTAGCACGTTGTGTCACATTCTTAACAAAGAAGAAGCCCCAAGAGAATGTACTGCACATCACCAAATGTCACATATGAAAGATTCAAGAAACATTTTGTCCAGCAACCCAAGTGTGGAATTATATTTAGAAGCAGATACAGATCAAACAGACACTTCAAAGACTTGCATTGTGTCTCTTTTCTTTAACAAAGGCCCTTAGGCTAAAAAAAAAAACCCAAATTAAATCTAGGGTGGTTCTACAATGGGAAAACTACTCTCTATGCTGCAACCAAAACACCAAGGTCATACATAACATAGCATCATAACTCTATTCTTTTGGATTTATCTGCAGCTTTCAACACTGTCAACATCAAAGCTGCCAGTGATATCCAAGTCAGCTCCTTTTTTTTTGTAGTCTCGGAAAACAGGTCCTACCAAGTCAGCTGGATAACTCGCCCTCAAACACCTCAAAAACCTGCATTCAGGGATACGGTACTTCAAGGACCAGTCCTTAGACCCCACCCCCCTTTTTTGACCATCTACACCACACGGAAAACTCATCCAATTCCCAATGGAATGCTGATATCTCTATATCCAATTCCCCCCTCTGTTTTTTCATCTGCAATCTCAGACATGATCGCTGCATGACTCTCTGATATATCAGCCTGGCTGATTAACTCAAGACTGAGCTCTGATTCCCTCTAGCAAAGATGTCCTCTATATCCGTCAGAGGTCATACAGTCCATGCATACATGTTTCAGAGCTCACCTTCAGTGACCACATTACAACGACTGCCAGGTCCTGCCACTTTATGCTTCATAATATGAAAAATAAGGACCACATTAATATCTTAAGGAATAAAAATGAAAATTAGCTGAAAATGTACTCTCTCAGGCCATACAAGATGCAGATTTTGTTTCTTCATTGAAACAGATTTGGAGAAATTCAGCATAATTTTGCTTGCTCACCAGTGGATCCTCTGCAGTGAATGGGTGCCGTCAGAATGAGAGTCCAAACAGCTGATAAAAACATCACAATAATCCACAACTAAAAATTCATCATCAAGGCGTTTTAACTTAAACCATCACTTCTGGCCTAAATACCAGTCCATAATCCATAATAACGCTTTCTCCAGTGAAAAATTCAATCCCATATGTTGTCCTCTCACTTCAAAATCCACCACCACATTTGTTTGGACTGCTTTGTAAGGCGGCGGAGAGCTCAACGCGCTGCAATTTAAGAAAGCACATGCAAATACAAAAAGCACCAGCAAATGAAGAAAACATCTTCATCAGTTTGACAACACGCGCTCTGCAAAGACTCACAACACGACCAAATACAGGAACGCGCTGCAAAAACTCGCAACACAATCAAATACAGAAACGCGCTGCAAAAACTCACAACACAACCAAATACTGAAAAGCGTTGCACGTAGCGCAGACCACATCGGAAATGTTTCAAGGCGACCCCAACAACCCTTACGAAAATTAACCATGGTTTTATTATAGTAGTATTGATGTTTTTGCCTTTACCATTACCATTTTGTTTTTGGTGATAGCCTTGTGTAACCACACAAATACCATATGGTTAAACTATGGTTAGTGTAATTTGTGATTACCATGGTTTAACTATAGTGACCATGTTTATTTTTTTATTTTTTATAGTAAAACCATGGTTAATTTTCGTAAGGGAAGTTGTAAAAGTAAGTTAGCCAGTTTACATATGTTTCACAGTTATTGTGTATTTCGTCAGCTTAAGTTAGGCTAATAATATCGGGGGGGGGGGCTAACCTAACATCAAGATGTTAAACCAAAAATCTCACCTTTCAGAGTAGGCACCGAGGCGTATCCCAGCAGTCAGGTTCATTTGTTGCGGTTCCCGTATACATTTCCGATATTTGTGCTTATATTTGCAGCGCGTTTCTGTAGGCCTATTTGATTCTGTTGCGAGTTTTTACAGCGCATTTCTGTATTTGGTCGCGTTGTGAGTATTTGCAGCATGTGCGTAGTCAAAAGGTGATGAAGATGTTTTCTTAATTTGCTGGTGCTTCTTCTATTTGCATGTTTTCTTAAAGGTGGGGTAAGCGATTTTCCAAAAACGCTTTAGAAAGTTAATGCGATTTCTGCACTTTATCATTGTCACTCTGGCTAGAGAAGGTCCGCTAAAACATTTTTGATTTGTTCTCAAATAAATAAATGTTCCACACATCTGAGAAATCAGCCGCCAGAGGGCAGCATATATCACAAATCCAGCAATGCCATGAAGTCAGAGGTGCTGCACTGTTACCAAAGCCACTTGAGCAAATATAACTCTAGCAGTACTTGGCGTATCGAGGAGTAATTTGTGTAGAGTTATTCTTCAGTTTTACAAATTCTATACTCCTCCTTTAGTATTACATCACAGACTATGAACATGCAAGGAGAAAAAGAGGAGAGTGAAAAACAAGAGATAATAATGAGTAACGTTGGGAAGTGTCTCTACTCATGTGATTGGCTGACAGCTCTTTTGTCTCTGTAGTTCCACTATAAAAGCTCCGCAAACGGTACTCTCATGTTGTATTAGCTTGGAATACTGCGCACCATAAGGATCTACAACTCATCATGATTTTTACGCAATGGATTAACATATCTGGATATTACCACCTATAAATTCCGCCAAGTAGCCTGTATTATCTGATTATCAACAACTTCAAAGATAACTTTTTCAACTTATTGGACACATTTTTGGGCACATTGTACACCATGGCAAATACTTGCTTACAGTTCACGGGTTTTGTGATGAGTTTTCTTGGTTGGATCGGCCTTATCATCGCCACTGCCACTAATGAATGGGTGGTCACTTGTAAATACAACATGAACACATGTAAGAAGATGGATGAACTGGAGGCCAAAGGTTTATGGGCAGACTGTGTGATCTCAACTGCGCTGTATCACTGCATCACACTCACGCAGATTCTCGAGCTACCAGGTACGTGTGAAATAATACATTAATGTAAGCATTTTTTTTTTTTAGGAATGAAGATGAAAACCATTACTAAAACAATGCATTTTCATTATTTAATACATGAGCATAAGGATAAAATGACAAAAATGATAAAATAAAAGAGTTTATTAAATAAAATATAAATATGAAATAAAATTTGAACATGCAAATACATTTACATTTTTTTTAAATAATTCATATAGTATGTTATATAAAACTATATAGCATTTTTACAAAGTGCATAAGCATTGTTTTATATATGCTTATATAAAAACTTTTTCACCACTATTTGCGTGTGTGTGTATACATATACTATCACTTATCTAAATAGTTGAATCTGTTTAACTGAATTGTGTTATTATTATATAATGAAAAGGAGAATAAAATGATTCTGTTCTTTGTTGAAGCGTACATCCAGACGTCTCGAGCGCTAATGGTCACAGCATCGATTCTCGGATTGCCTGCTGTCGCGCTCGTGCTCATGTCTATGTCCTGTATTAACCTCGGAAGTGAACCAGAAAGCGCCAAGAACAAACGATCAGTGCTCGGAGGAACCATAATCCTGCTGACTGGTAAGCCTGTATTTACATTTGTTAAATTAAGCTCATATTACGCTAAGAAAAATTACACTAACATACCCTTATGCCACTTAGTATTCTGTAAATTGAAGATGAGTGTATATCTCTCTCACTTACATTAAGGGTATGATGCAACATACAACAAAAAAGGCTATAATTTAATGTTAAGTGTGTTTTTTCCTTCTCAGCTTTTTGCGGCATCGTCTCCACCGTGTGGTTTCCCATCGGGGCCCATCACGAGAGGGGCTTGATGTCCTTTGGCTTCTCCCTGTATTCGGGCTGGGTGGGCACTGCACTTTGTTTGCTGGGAGGCTGTATGATCACCTGCTGTTCAGTGGACACCCCTGCTACATACACTGACAACAATCGATTCTACTACTCCAAACAGGGCCCCGCTCATTCCGGCCCCGCCTCCACTAACCACGCCAAAAGTGCTCACGTGTGAACTTCGGGATTACTGATCAGATCTGATTTCTACTCTGTTTTTGCTCTCTCTCTCTCTCTCTCTCTCTCTCTCTCTTTCCACTGTTTTTTGTTTCAACAATGTCTCTATCTACAGTGGTGACTTTGGATAGTTATTTTCCAGCTGAACTCTGACCTTTTGACACGGAGCGGGGTATGTCACCCAGATGTTACATAACAAGGGACAGTCACTGGTGAAGGACCTCCAATGAAGGATTCAGTGTTTAAAAGGTCTTCTACTGATTCTGCTCAGTACAATGTTCCATTTTAAGTCCTATTTTTGTAGTGAAAAAATAATTTTTGCATTTTTATATGAATACTAACAGTAGTGCCATTGTTGTTTCTATTCTAAATCTTTCAGTTTATTTCAGTCTGTTTGTACAGCTATATTTTCATTTTGTTTAATTTCAGACCATTTCACGATAGCCACCCAAACAAAACTACCAAAATTGGACCAAAGCAGTAATTACTTAGCAATATTATTTATTGTAATACTTTGTATGCAGTTTTTGTTATGTTGTAATAAACAATGTTGTCCATGTGAATTTTAATTTTTTTTATATATTATAGGCAATATGTCATTTTTTTATATATAAAACTCTCTGTGCTGGGAAACTGAACTGAATTGCTCTCAGCAGGACTGTATACTGTTGAGAACGTGGTGTCTGCTGTCAGATGCCCAGACAGGTGTAGTGCATCATCATTAAACCTCTCATTCATTCTCACTAAAAGCACTCGAGACACACATACAATTCAGGTATCCGAGACATGTACCCGTATCGATTTCTCTAACTCCAGTGAGAAACTTGTCCCATTACGACCAATGGGCAACTCAATGACTGGCAGACAGCGCTGATTAAAGGTTAACGGTCGCATTCGGCCATAAAGGCAGATTTATGCTCCGGCTGCGACGAGTCTCCGTCTTTGTTCTCTGGTTGGGATCCTTGCACTGAATGCTTCCTGTTACACATGGAGTTTGAGTGGGCATACAGTCAAAAATGGCTGAATACTGAGGATATAAGCAACATGTGAATGTTTCTGTACATCGTGTGAAAAAGAAAACAACAAATTTAACCACTACAGTATAATTTATCCTGTGTAGAATGATGTTTAGATGTCAAATATTGCTTTTTCGTAGATCTTATACATTCAGTCTTTGGTTAGAGGTGGTTTGGGGTGAAGTAAATTCAACTAAAGATGGCATTGGAATCTACAGTATTTTTCTTTTCCAAATATGGCTGCAAATAACAACATACAAGCAGAAGGAGAGACAGACAGAGCAGAGATTGACCTGAACTAGAAGGAATCAGGAAGATGAAAAGTTTTTGTTAATACAGCCTTCATTCCTTTATATGTTCATAGCTTGGAGGGAAGTAGTTTAGCACTTTCTTTTTAAAGGGTCATGAAACACTAGCACACATTTTTTAGATGTTAACAAATATTGTATGTTGCAGATAATATAAATGGTACTTTTTTTGAAGAGTGAAGTTGATCGTTTGGTCTATTTTAGTATTCTGGTGTCATGAACAAATTAGTCCAGTAGCATGAAAAGGCCTTTAAATGTAAGCTCTATTCAGTGCCTGATTAGAAAACCTACACACTTGGCTTATGCTATATGTTGTCTTAATTATGTAAACATGACTCTAATTACCTTTAAAAAAAAAATTTGTTAACTAAAGTGTATGTCAGATGCTTCTTTCACACACACTTCTGAGCAATTTTCAACATTTATGAGAACTGATTCATGGTGGGTTTCATGACCCTTTAATGTTCTTTGCATAATTTGAGAAAGGATATATCCGCATTTGTACAAACATGAGACAACTTCACTAGTCAAAGTGCTGCAGGGGTCAATTACTTACAAGAGAATAATCATATTCTAATGTGGAAATACAGCAACCGTGACTTACTAATTTTAGCTCGACTGTGTTTTCCTTGGAAAACAGATAGTACTGAGCTAAAAAATTACAAAATTGTGTATTGGTACCTAATACTCTAAAATGATTAAAATCTCACAGTATGAGACTAACCTGGAACTGACCAGAAAAATATGCAGTTTCCAGAATGTTCTGAAAACACCAAAAGGCTTCTTTTGGTGACAGGAAATGACTGATACTTTGAGCAGTGAGTCAATATCACCTTTTGCATAAGGATTTTTGATAAGGATCTTTAACACAAGTATTAGGATATATTCGTATTAAAGCAACTATGTTTGCATAAGCATAAAAGTGCATAATATTTACGTTTTTTAAGCATATAAGGAAAATATAACCATCTACCACACACTATCAAAGCATTTAACGTCTTCCTCACATCCAGGATTAGCACCAGGATATTTTACATCAGAAAAAGGGGAGGCTTCCACCCCAAACAGATGATGTATAATATAAGGACATCACATTTAAATCTGATTCAGGCTGATGACAGATGACACAAATGACATCCTATGAGTGCCTCATAGGAATAACACTTATGAAGACCCTCCCACAAAAGGAGTGTGCTTCAGGTTGTGTCGATGTCTGCGCCATACAGACAGATGGGTCTGATCTGTATGAATTGACCATAACAACATGCTTTGAGATCTCCAAACCATATTGTACTACATCGACCACCATTGCAGCAATGATAATGGAACAGTACATCTCGATCTGTTTATCTCATTCCTCTGCATAGCCAGCGGCGCCCCTCCCAGTATGACCATGTTTGTTTTGTGCTCAGGTACGACCCTTGGATCGCTGTTATTCTAGGCTCAGCGCTCCACCCCACAGGAAACAGAGCGGGCCTACACCGCTTACACAAGCCACCCATGTGAGGATATTTATTACCTCTGATTTCGGGTTGTGTGAGACCGCCTTAAAACGAAAGGAAAACCAAGAGTCACGCTTATCTGATCTGCAATAAATGACTTTCATTGTTGCATGGAAGCAATATTAACATCTCATTACACAGTGCAACGGGAGAGCAAAACCACAAGTAGAAGAAACAATAAATAGATTCTTTAAAAAAAAATCATTGAAACCAGAATACATCCACTTCATACCAAAATATACAGCAGAAACAAAGATCAGATTTGCAAGGGAAGCCAATCTCCACATTTCCTGGACAAATACCGAAAAAACTATGATAGCAGTAAAGATAGTTCACAAAGTACAAACACTGTACCTTTTCTCAGAGACAAATAACAAATAGTAGCTGACTTTAAAAGCAATAGTGGAAACATTTTAAGATTTTTTTTTTACAGACAGATTTTTAATAAAATATTTCTGTACGTAGATTTTAATCTTACTTAAAATAATAATTCACTCACAAATGAAAATTGTCATTATTTACTCACTCTCATGTCGCTCAAAACCTGTATGACTTCTGCTGAACACAAAAGAACTGTTTTTGTCCTTACAATGAAAGTCAATGGGGTCCAAACATCATCAATGGACCCCATTGAATTCCATTGTATGTATAAAAAAAATAAATAAAAAAAAACCTTTTTTTTGTTGTGTACAGATTGGAAGTGGTATGAGGGTGAGTATATGATGACAGAATATTTATTTTTGGGTGAACTATCCCTTTAAAACCATGCCCCCTTTGAGCCTATCCTTATGGGCTAACATTTATTTAAATCAAAACTACTAAATCAAAATTCAAAAATCTCCAGTTATGTTTTTAGAAAGAGGTCATTAAAAATATATGCTTTCACCACTTTTCTTTAGAAGTTCTTCTGTACCCACAAAACACCACCGGCGGTGACTAGGCTACCCCAACAGAGAACCTGAAGGTATGAAATGCCTGTAAAAAAATACTTCTCTTCGATATCTCACGTCTCCACACTGTTATATGGTATTCTACTCTACAGAAGTAAAATGGTGTCTTTTGTCGGATATAGTAAACAAAGGTTGCAGACTTTGGCTTGCTTTGTAAACAGAGGCCACTCGGGAATATAGGAGGGTTCGGGGGGGTGTACGGTCGGCAGGCTGCTACCCTCGTCTCTCAGAATGCTACATTTGAGATTTACATCAAGTCTTTCATCGGTCAACACACATGCAAATACTCACAGTTTTACTCTGAGCCTGTTTGTTCTGAACATGCTATACCTTCAGCAAAATGCCACGGCGACAAAGAATCACATCATAGACCAGATGCAAGGAACAAAACCAACCCAGGCCCCAAAATGAAGCTCTATGCGCTTGTGAGAGCTAATGGGACTAAAAGGACACAGCCTGCAAATAATTTATGGCAACTCAATCTTTTGTTTTTTGTTATTTCAACATATTTGTCACAAACAAAAATTGGGGGAGACACATTTAAAGTAATATGACATGAAATATGCAGTGGGTTTTGAACACATGTGGCCTTCCAAATGTATGGATTTGAGGCCTGGCTTGGTTGCTTTTAGTTTTTTATTATTATTATTTTTTTTTGCCTTTTTCGGCTGCCAGAGCTGTAGCACAGATAGAGTTAGACTGAACAGATCAATTGAACGCCACATGAATTATAGGAGAACAGCAGAAGAGCACAGCCAGATAAAAAATTCACAACACGCTCCACACCACATGCAAATTTCACTCCCTCTCTTTTCCTAAACCTCTTCCTTTTTTTTGGTCAACGGACACACTGACCAACTGAGAGACACAAATCGTACTGTGGTCACACCGTCAGTATTTACACAGAGCTGCCTGCTTGCAAGGATGAAGCGGAGTCACTGGCACATAGGATGAATGGATGGTCGGTGGTGACACGTGACGGCTGACAGGCACCTTCACAAGGAAAAAAAACCCCATGGATATGTCGGCATCAACAGAAATGACAAACAAACAAGCATGGACATCTTGATGGTCATATTTAAAGCACACACTGACAGATGAAGGCACTATTGCAAGCCAAGTCCAATTACTATTTGTGACAACCTACAGTCCAAACCTCACTTGGGCTAGATGTTAGAGCAGAAGAGAACGAGGCCTTTGATTCAGTGGGGTCATTTCCATTCGCATTTTATGACTATCATTTATCTTTGCTTCTCAAAACGAACCTTTTTGCATGCAATATTAAAATTGATTAAGAAAAACAGCTGCTTACTGAATTGTAAAAGTGTGCAAATCGCTTTAAGTGTTTTAGGGCTTCACATGGCAATGTTTCCTGGTTTTATATCGACCCCACATAACGTTGGGGCTAACAGACTACAGGAAGTGACCTGTGAACGGACATCCTCCTGACAGATGAAAGACGCTCATATTGGGAAAGGCTGTGGGACTGTGATAACTAACAGGGCAGTAATAAACTACTCACCGGATAATACATTTCATGCTAGTTACTGTAATTTGGGGGGAGGGGATTATACATATTTAAGTGCTGAAGAGTTCGGTAACATGATTACAGTGAGAATTAGGGATCAAACTGTTAAAATTGATTTTAAAATGAAGAAATATTTGGGCTCTTTAGGTTCTGTGTGGTCAAAAAAATTATCAAAAGCCTTCTAAAAGTTAAATCCCATCCTATGTGTTCTCATTATCCTATCAGTAGTGAAAAAGGGCTGCAAATGAAGGAAT